ATGTTACTTCAAGTATTGTTGTTGTTACTGATTGAAACTGGTTTTTGTAAACCAGTTTTTGTCATATGAGCGCTTAATTTGCCTAACGTAGTAACTTTGCTGTTATAAACGTTACCCCCCACTCACCACTTACCATCTCTTATTCACCATACCCCACCCACTTACCATACAGTAGTTTATCGTGACAGAAATTTCGGGTTGAATATACAACGATAGATTTTGGTTTAGACGAGCAATTTTGTTGAGAAAAAGTTGTTCGCGGAAACTATATCGCGTTTGCGGTTTTGTAAACTGGTATTTCTTTACTCGCGCTTTTTTTGACGGTTATCACCGTTCGTTTACTGGCTTAAATAATTAATAGCATAGGTTGGCTTTCGTTAAACAGTCGCCGTGTCTTGAGAAGTTTATATTTGAAAAAGTGACGCGAACGTGCGCTGAAGGTTTCCAGCTATATAATTACGCCACCCCCCCCCCTTTTTTTTGCCTATTGTTCTCATTTATCCTTTTGTGATCTATTGTCTTACGTCATTGCATAAATTTGTAGTACCCTAGCCATGGCGAAAAAAATGATTCGGATTATGTGAAAATGTTCGGGCCGGAGCATCCGAAATAACTCGGCCACGGCACAAATAACAACAAGGTAAACGCGTCTTATCATCACCATTGCATTATTATTATTCATTTTATAGACGGCAAAATCTTGGCCATATAAACGTAACTAAAACCATGTTTAGTAATTACTAGTTAAGTAATGCTAACTATAACCATAAAGTAAGATGGTATATCACATGCGTTCAAAATACAAGTGAAAACGAAAATTATGATATCTAGTAATGTAAATTATAGACTCGTTAAACATTTATAGATCGTTTATTAATTGAGATTGGTATACTACATTAAGATAACATAGCGCTAACTTCCTATGTGCTAACTTCCTTTCTATTCCAAGCCTAATATAACTACTTTCTATTCTTATATACTAATATTAATTTCAAATTAACATAATAATAAGTTAAATTAACATAACAATCAAACATACATAGATCTGCCTAACATCGTTAATACACTTGTTCGAGAAAACTATGAGATTAATGCTTACTCCACGATACAAAGAAAACTGTAAGCCAAGACGCAATAATCCATCATATAATATGCGACTCGCAATCATTATTCCGAAAGACTAAGGACAGTACATTAGTGTTATATGAACGACAAATTATAAGGCGTTAATGAGATATCTACGCTGAAAAGTGAAGAAGTCTTATACGTTCATAGTACATAATCAGCAAAATGCTTGGTGTTAGTATTAGTTCCAAAAAGCGAAGGCTCACATTTGACGGCTGCATTGAATTGAGAGAACATTTGAGTAGCTGGCATCAGTGATAACAACAAAAAGTGTAAAATTTGTTTACCTTTACAAATATGGCACGCGATTTGTTTACTGTTCAACAAGTACCACATCGGCTCCAGTTCCAACCTTTTTTTTTCGCCATAGCTAGGGGTACTAATAAATTTGCGATTGCCGATAAGAAATTAGCGAATGTTTCTAATTTTAGTAACTTGACCTTCAAACATTTATTTGTAATTTCGCATTTAAAATTATCAGCTTGTTTATCCATTACTATTATTGCTTTATGCTAAAAGCGCTTATTGTATAGCAAATTTACACTTATTACGATGTTTTTGAAAAAAAACAAACAAACAAGTCGTTTACTCATAACGATAAGATTTGTTGACTTAACCAGGATTGACGTTGTTTATTATGCGAAAAAGACACCTTGATTTGATCAACTCAAATTTCATACATTTACGATGTTTGTTATCCCTGGCCTTTGTTTGCCTTTGTTTCTATCTATAGATATTGCAAAATTACAGCAGGACATTGTTCTTTCAATCATTTATAATGTGACATTTCAAATCGTGTAATTCGTCATGCTTGAATACGATCAATACCGAACATAGTATTATGCAAACATGTATTTATGATACAGTGTTACTTCTACTTGGAAATATACGACAACTCTTGTGATAAGTTACTCGCCTAAAAAATATAATGATATCGGCTAGTTATAAGAAAAAAAAATTGCGCATCGCAGTATAAATACATGTATCTTAATAGCCAGGCCAGACTTTCAGATATATAAAACTAGAATTTTTCGGTTTATCAACTCTCCTCTCCTCTCTCCCAGTGCGAACATCAGTGACAACAGTTTCTAGTAAAGTTTTGTTGGTCAAATGATTAAATTATCGTTAAATGCTTCAAAGAAATTGTCCAAAATACTCAATTAGGCCAGTTGAATCTAATTAGAAAGTTCAAAAATAAACATCTTTCCGGAAAGGAAATCTGTACGCTTCATAAACAATCTGCAAGCCGCTCATTGGTTAATTGAGAAAATTTTGCCGAGGTTACTCCGTATTGCAAATTTTTTTACTTTCAAGAACGATGTCTGTAGTTTTAGAGACGTGTACACCATTTGATAGCTTGATTCACCCCGTGGATGGGAACCATAAACCAAAATTAGAATGGATTTCTTGCGCAAAAATTTCTCACATTGAACCAACGCAAACTGACAATATCTATTACGCTGTTCTCACGCAAATAATGTATTATGGGGTAATGCTGCTGTCGCTTGGAAGTGACGATGAATGTACACCAACCTTCGTAAACGAGTTTGCCAGAATATACTCGCTTCCGACACACAAATACATCATTGCTGACCGTCGATTTAGACGATATTGCATATGGCTCAGCAGCGCAACTATCTCATAAAGGGTTTTACCAAACATGACGATAAATATTACATGGTTGCTGATAGACTCTTTTATCGTTTTTACTCTCGATATGGATTCTGCACTGCATGTGGAATACTCAGATGTAGTCCCGTGTGGTGCATTTGCGGACATAAGCAATTGTCCGATGGATGGACCAGTAACAATACGCAACTCGATGACTTTATTAAAAAATCTCAATTACAAACAAACTCTGCAAACGAAGCTTATTTGGAATGGGTTCCAATTGACTGTGTTCGTGATGATTTTTTTTTAATGGTATCTTTACGTTGTGGTCTACCTACTTATACAAAACTTGAATTGATTCCGCTTGAGATTACGGATGAGACAAATGATTTATATTATGCTGAGGTGAACTATTTACCTAGGGTGGTGTCATGATTATTAAATAGTTTAACTAATTATTCACCTCTTTTGTGCATCATTCTATTAGCTATATGCAGACATTCTCATTACCAACGTTTGGATTACCATCGGATTCACGTATGATACAAGTAAAAAGAAATACTATCTACTACGTGGTTGGCATGAGTCATGTCTGGAATGTACAACACCATATTTGCATCATATAAATGCATTCTGTTATCAGTGTAAAGCCCCGAGACCGCTTGATTGGACTACGAGCAACAAGTCATTAGATTCATTTATTATGGAGTCATGGAATAATGTGAAGAAAATGTATGATGCCTATATACAATGGATAGAATACTCATCATTGTCAAATGTACAAAGGAAGACATTATTACGCCACAAATGCACACATATGGCAGATTGGTTAGAGCCGACAGCGAATCAGTCGACAAGAGTGATGCTCAAACGGATAGATATCGGGCAGAATGCTCAATCGTTTGATTTTTATCAGGTACGTAAACTGTTTCACATAGAAAGAATGCAATAAATTTGTGTTGGTGCATTATTGTAACGACTTTTTTGTATATTGAAATAGCTGATTGAAGATTACCCGGAAATATTAACATCAGCTAATATTCGTATTATTGGTTTTACTCAAGAACCATCTACTCGGGAATATTATTTAGTTTTCTATCATGAAATACATATGATATTGGACAGACTTATGCTCAAGTATCAACATGTAATAGTCTATGAATACACCGATTTTTATGATCTCAAAGAGATTGGATCCGGTAGCTATAGAACAGTCTATACTGCCAAGTATAAAGGAAGATGGCAGCAGCGCATGCCACAAACTCTCATATATGTGCTCAATCGGTTTAAGTGTTTTGATGGAACGTCGGAATTATTTATTAATGAGGTAAGCAATGTTTGTGTTCTGTCTTCAATTAAAAATGTTCAAGCTGACAATGTATTTATTTACTTAATTATAGCTCACACACTATCTGATGTGCTCGATGTTTCGATTCCATCAAGTTTATGGATTCACACAAAATCCAGAAACGCAAGGCCCCTTTGACCGCTTTATCCCATCCCACACACCCATCTCCATAGTTACTAACTTACTAACTGCTAAATAAACAACTAAAGGTGCCTAACACTTTCTATCTCACTATGTCTAGCCCTGGTCAAACATGGGCCAAAGTAGTTGAGCAGTCCTCTGCTCCTACAGATAATAAAAACCTACTGTTCGCTCGCTCAGAGTGTTCAGTTTCCCTCACAAAATACCTTCCCACTGTAAAAACTCCTGCTCCCTCAGGCAAATTCCCAGTGTTTTTCAACCTGTCATCCACCCAAGCATCTCATGAAGAGATTGCTGCTGCGCTGCCTCCAGGAATCCTTGGGGTTAACTGGAGAGCAGATATGAACATCCTGGAGGTGGATGTCCAAACTGAGGAGGAACAGAGCAACCTCCTCTCCAAACCCCTCCAGATCCCAAACCACATTGCTCTAACCCCTCTCCCCTCCACAGCTGACTCACCTCGATTCGTTCTTGTAAAGTTGGCTAATGTACCCATCACCTCAGCAATCACCCTGGAGACCATACTGCGCCACCACTGGGAACAGTTTGGCAAAGTGAGGGAAATTGCTCCACACCGCATCCCAGGCAAGGCCTGGCTCACCCGCCGGTGGGACCTGATCATGGAAATTGATCCAAAGGCCTCCACCACCCCTCCTACTATCTTTGAGGTCCTAGAGACCAAAGTGCTCGCTTGGTGGCCCCGAGCACCCAAGACCTGCCTGACCTGTAAGATTGTTGGGCATAATTCTTCCTCGTGCCCCAGGAAGAAACCAAAGACAGCTGGTATGACCAACCCCCCCATTCCCCCAACATCCTCCATGGCCAATCCCTCTGCTGCCCCTGAGGTACAAGCAGAGAAAAAGAAGAGGAAAAAGAAGAAGAAGCAGAACCAATCGGAGGTCAGCGGAACTG